GCTGACATATAACTAACTGGCCTGCATTAGATAACAAAAAACACCCCTACAGATTTTAAGACAGGATTTGTTTTTAAATAGACATTTCTAACTTTTGGGACAATATGGTCTGATAGTACATTTATATACATGTTTAAGCCAGAATGATTTGACATTTTAATATGACTTCCCTACAACTTTAAATATTCAAAACTGTACTTTTAACAACCGTGAATTTGTATGGGTCAAAATAAACACATAAATAGATTAAAGGAAGTTCATTCTCAGCAGTTGGAATGTAGCTACAACCTTGCTAACGAACACAAACTGTAACCAAAATGTCAGCATTGCACCGCAACACAACCATGTACCAATTAGTCTGTTCATGTTGTCCAGTTACAATTTGATGTGCGGATGTTATCAGAGATCATCGGACTCAACAACAGCACCTGCAACGCTAAGTAGCTATGCCATGAATGGGCTATATGCCAGGTAACCATGACGACATTGGCCGGACACACAAGAATTAATCAGTCTGTCCAGTAATGACAGACAGGAAACAAAGGACCTGCTGAAGTTTAGGAAGTAGTGGAGCTGGGCTTATAACCCAATGATGTCATTTTATCCTAACATTAAAATCTACATATTTCAGCTATTTGTCAATCGCACTGAACTGCCAGCAATCCGAAACTGGCTGCTATCCTGCATGTTGGTACTATTTTAATCCCTCGTCAGGGTCTGTACCTTAAAGATGGTAAACCACAACGGGTGACCAGCCTTATGTATAAACTAATAAAACATTATCATGTGAATTTTTTTATGAAAATGCAGTCATAAAAAAAATTGCTACACAATGTCCCTTTAAAAGTCCAGCATATAGATCTGAGTCAGAGCAGTTATTTACTGGGATATTCTAGAGCCTTTTCTGCTTCCTTCCTGCTGACTAGCTTTATGATTTCTGATATTATTCCTTAACTGAGAAGCATCTGTTTGGGCTGAGCAGAATAAAAGTGGAGCAAACCTGGAAGAAACTTGAGACTTTGCAACATCTCCCTCTCCTGGCTGAAGTCCACCATAAGATGACTCATGTTGTCGCTGGCTTTCGCCTTCAGGGAGAGGCGGAAGGCCGGAGCCATCGTCACGCTGCAGAAACGGGGACCAACGAAAAGACACAAAAGACCGGGTGGAGACAAGTGCCTGCTATTATTTGATGGAATAAAGACCATTCTAGTGATGCTCGCTAATTAAATAGCCGCTAACTATGTTTCTGGTGCTACCACAGAAGTCATCAGCCCTGATGGGCGACGATTAAGCAAAGCTAGAGAGGAATCAGGATTCATCCAGGGAGGGGCTGACACAGGATGGTACAGACCAAACAAGAAGCCTTTTTAGCATGCTTTTTGTCTAACATATGGGTGCGGTGGCTACATGTCTGAGTGCATGCAGAGCTACATTATGAGATGGCTCTCTGGCCACAGGAGACTATGACAAAAAGGGAAGCAATAGATGGCTGAGTACTATACCTATCCTTAATGTCTTTGGCCGCCTGCAGTTGAGAAGCACACAGAGGGGGATAAAGAAAAAAAAAAAGGAGAGAAGAGATATGGAACGGAAGAGAAATCTGAGTCCATCATGTTATGGTTTAACATGAACAGTTGCTGAGTGGCTGAATTAAATGTATGTAACAGAAACAGAACAGATTAATTCATCTTTGGATTGTGATAATCAGCAGTGAGCAGAGGGAAACAGTGCAGCAGCGTTAGAGCAGGAGCAGGAAGGTCAGTCACCTGAGTGAAACCGTCCGTCTCCGAGGAGCACAGCGTCTGATTGGCCAGCTCCAGCAGCTCCTCTGAACTCTCCAGGGCTTTGGAGCAGGAGCTCAGCTGATTCTGAGGAAAAAAAGAAGAAAAAAACAAAGCCACACACGCATAAGAACATGTGAAAACTCTCAGTGCTTTCAGTATAATGAGGTCGCTGTGTTCCCTGCAGAGGTTATGGTGGATGCATCATTTGAGAGTCACAACTCGGTTCTGGGGCTGAATGAATATTTATTTTATCTGAGAATAGCTTTAATATGATCAGCTGGGTATGAATCTGAGCTGTAAAAGCTCTACATTAGTGTCATCAATAATTACTTATGGAATACAAATTTTTCCTTCATTTTTTTACTCCTGCTTCTGATTTTTTTGCTTTTTTTTTTGTTGAAAACCATGAAGTGTTGCTCGACATTAATAGATCTCACATCATTAATGTCAGCAGATGCTCATCTGAAGTAAGAATGTGTAAAAAGGCCAGGAGAAAAGCAGCTGCTTGTATAATTACACAGCTAAGGAACCGCACAGAAAGGGTGGTGAAACCATGAGACCTTTTGACTTTGTTTCACTTAAAGAGAAGAACAGAAGCCATTTGCAAAGAAAAACACTGATTCACAAACACAAACACACTTCATCTAAAACAATCATTTTTCAATGTATTCATTTATCTTAATATTTCCTACTTTTTGACATACTAAACTGTTACTATTCTGTATTTTTTTTCTTCTTTATAAATCTCCTCATACACAGCTGGCATTCATTGATCCATTGTATAATTCATAGATTAAGCTAAATAAAAAATATAATATCATACATGCATGCATACATACATGCATGCGCTAATAAAAATCAGAATAAAAATTGTGATTAGATTAGATCACTATGACAATATGAGCAATGCAGGTTTTACAGGCCCTCTGTGTATCACTGACTGTTTGTATGGGCGTGTGAAATTAGGCAGCCGGCAGCTTCTTGTCCACCGTCGTGACGGTGAGCCGGTCAGGAAAAATATAGTCTGTTGATCCGTCCATCAACTGCCCATTGCCCTGATGCAATGAAGGCGTAATGTTACATGAATGATAGGGGATTAGTGGTAAACCAGGTAAAAAAAACACCAAGAAGGCTGTAATGTTACTATGAAATTAATCATTGATCATGAAGAGCAAAGATGCTACGAAGTTTAATTTCAGTAGAAAAGGCAGTGACATATTTCTTTATATTTAGGGATGAATTTGAGGATTTTCACTATTTTAAAAGCAGAGTTTGTCCCGCCGAGTTCTGCCACTAAGAAATCAGGACGTTTTACTCAGACTGATCACTTCTTGTATTAATATGATGCAATCGAATCGTGGCATCAGCTTCCAGCTTTATTGGAGTCCAAACATTATTGAATTAACAAGCTAACCAGATGAAATTATGTTTCTGAGTTCTATTTTTATGTGCTCCAAGTCCTCTTCACTCCAGCCATTAATCTGTAGAACCGTGATTGGGATGCAGGCTGTGTTAAATTATCTTATACAGTCAGCAATCCCTTGGAGTCTCTTTAATTCAGACTTTTTTTCACTCTTTTACTGTCAGATGAGTTTTTGTTAGAAATAATTTGCTCTCTCTTCTGCCCTGTGATTGGTCTGCTACCTTGAATTCACCCCTTTATACGTGCGCATTCAGATTCGTGATCAGTTCAAACTGGATTGAGTTAGTGAGTTGATAACCAGCTTGGTGGTGCCTCTGATCCTAATTGCAATTGTTGTGGACTGGTTAAACTGGATAAACTGGGAGGAATCCCGCTACGTTGTGCTTACTTCGTGGTAAAGGCCTCAGGTTAGATTAAATTGTTATTGAACTTTCTATCTTAAATGCGAAAACCCAGTATGTGGTAGAAATGCAGCACAAAAAAAACTAAACTACAAATTCACTTTTAAAACATGGTGGTGGAAGCATCATGCTGTGGCGATTCTGTGAATCCACAGGGTGACGGTTAAAGGATAGAGCTGAATATAAAATAATGTTGAAGGAGAAACTGCTTAAGTCTGGTGAAGAGATAGGCAGAGGTTTAACTTCCAGAATACAAGATAATTACAACATGTTAGCCTCGTAAACTAGCCTCAAACCGCCAACGGCCAAAATAATTTCTGCCTTTGAGTGGTCTAGCATGGATCAATGCCGCAGGCCCTAAAACTGGCGGGCCAATCACAAGGCAGAGATGTGTTTTGAATTTTTGGATGCAAAGCGGGCGGGGTTTTGAGGGCGTGACAACAAAGCTGGACTGTGCACAACAAGGAAGATGGTATCAACTACTGAACAGTTCTTGTTTGACTCAGCTTTGGAATCAGTTTTGGAAGGATTAGACGTGAGCAGGAAGAGGCTCTAGGCTCATTTATTTTTAAGAATGTATTTGCCGTTTTACCGACAGGCTGTTTGTTTACACCCCCCCACCAGCTTCCTGTCGCGCTTCCTACGTCACAGTCAGTTGCTCTCATTGGTCAGAGCGTTGGCTAATAGGCGCAGACATGGTTTGAAAAACAACAGGTTGTTCTCATCAACAATCTTCTGATGCCTCATTCATCGGGGCCAGACTAAATTACACATTTAATCTCACATTTAGTCTGATATATCAGGCATGTAGCTTAAATCTGATGCTCTCTGCTGAGTCTGATAGAGACAGAGCTGCTTTGCAAAAAAGAACAGCTAAAAATTACCTTTTAGATCTGCAAACCTGATAAAGAAAAAAACCCTAAAACATCTGAAGCTGTGATTCTAGCAAACGTCTCTCCTATTCTCTCTTGGTTTATAAATGAAAAATGAAAAAAGTTTTTTGCGTTTTCTTTCTGCTATTTCATCACATTACATAAATACAAGTTTCCATAATGAAAAGGAGCGCTGTACTCCTGAAACGACGCTCTAAAATCCACAGCAAAGACAGATCCAACCTGCAGCTCATAGGTGCGGCTGGCTCTCTCCTGCTTGATCCGAGTCAACATGGTTTCCTTCATCTCATCCAGAACAGCGTGCAGGGAGCTGAATTCAGACTCCAGATCATCCTGAACCCTGTTGGAGTTCGCCTGACGTCACAGCGGGGAAGATAAAGAGTTTTTATTAAACATCATGGGGGAACATGGCGATCAGACATGATCAAAATGTGGGCAGCATTAATAAAGAGTCTGCACCTCCAGGTTCTCCAGACTCTGTTTGAGAGAGCAGATGAAGTTGGAGATCTCTTCATTCTTCATGGCCAGTGTGTGAGTGATCTTCCGCAGAGACTCCTAAAGGAAACAAGGAAACATGATGCAGGTGTTCAGTTTATTGCATGTTATAGAGATCTGAGGCTTCTCCTTTAAACCAAACTCTCTAATCAGAGGTAAACTGAAGTGGACCCATAAGGGTTTAGCCTCCAAGCTCCATTTTTTAAATATGTTGCAGCATTTCCATTTCAGAGGGGATCAGATAGGAAGGACACTTGAGGGGCGGAGAGATGCGCATCAATAATTTAATAATGCAGCCGCACAATGATTCAGAGGCGACCTGAAAGGACTGGACGCTCATTGTTACCCTGATAGGTTGGTCCGCCCGCAGAGAAAGAGCCCATTCATTCATAAACACTGAGAAATGTTTGTTGTTGAGGGAAGAACTGCGACAAGGCCAGCCCGTCCCTGACCGTTACAGCAACTAATCCGTCGATAAACCTCCTCGGTAAAACGATTTTAACCAATAAAACTACCGCCAAATCCCACTTCGCTGCCGCATCCACAAACTTGCTCATTTGGCAGCCCCTCAGCCTGCTTCCTTTGTACACTACGCCCTGGGAAGGCTCATCCCCCCCATCGGAAACACCTGTTTCACAGACCGCAGCCCACCTTCTGGTCCCCCATCCTCCCGTCCTCATTCACCGGCGCCGCAACAGCCGCAAACGCGGAGGATTTCCCCTCTCCGTCCCCCGGCCTGTGGTGAGCTAGCACGGCGGCTCTGCTAGTGATGCTGCCGCCGGAGTAGAACGCATCTTCGGACAGACACTGAACAGCAACGCCTTTGGGCCGTAGTGCCGGATGCGCATGCGTGAAACCAGGGGCTTATGGGTAGTGAAGTTCTTTTGCTTTCCGCCTGTTGGGAAAAAAAAAGACTAATTGTTTTTTTTAATGTTAAATCAGTAGGAAAATAATAATAAAAAAATATATATATATATTTAAAATATCAGCAGCGCAATGTTTAAAAGTAAAAATAATGTATATTCTTATCATTATTATTTAAGCTCTCTACAGTTTTCTCTACCTCTATCTTAGCATCATAACACAGAACAATTACAATCATGAAAATCAATGTCAGCTCTGAATATTTCTATATATTTTTTATTCTTTCGCATCCTAATTTCCTTTGGCTTCCTGCTCGTTTTATTAAAGCACGCTGTGTTGCTTCTGTTTTAAATGAAAGTTAATGACTTAAAGTAATAATAATAATAATACTAACCAATTATAATCTTTACATTTTTTCTAAATGTGCTTACATCAAAGTGAAAGTAGTAATACAGATAGATACAATCCAATAAATCAAAGATAAGATCAAATAACAATAAAAGGGATAGAACTAAATTTAAAAGAAGAAATAACAAACCAAATATACAGAAAATGTAAAACAATTGAAATGATGTATGAAATAAAGGACATATAATTAATAATACTGAACTCCATGTTTGGTCCTTGCTTTAAATAAATAAAGTCAGTGTGCATTTAGTAAATGCACAAGGAATGCATTTATTATTACTTTATTTATTATTATTTATTTCTGTATTTATTATCTATTTTTTTATTGATTTAATACAGAGTCAGGTTCCAAGTTGTTTGCTTATTCTAATAACAAAAGTTAATATCATTAAATCTAAGACTTTATTCCAAGTAACTGGACTTTATTTTACATTCCTGGTTTTTATTCATTTATCATGATTTAAATCACTTGAGTATTTCACCGTCACTGTTGGTTTGTTAAACCAGTAAACTGTGTCCTATTGAAATTCCAATCACAA